ATGACTATTTTAGGCTCCTTCAAACTTTCTTTCTCATCTTACTCAACCTGCAACATCCCTGTATGTAAGTTTTCCTAGCTGAAAAATGGAAAATATGATTTTAAATTACAGCCCCACAGTGCACTGGAAATACAAATGCATTAGTATCTGTGAAGTATTTGGAAGACACTGCTAAGTTGAAAGTACTATTTCAAAAAGAAGCAAAGTTATTCTACAATTTTAATATAAACCTGCCTTTACTAATTCTGTTTTTTGTTTTTATGACATAACTAATTTTCTTTAGGTAAAGAATCTGTTGTCAGATAATCATTTAAATGATTATCCCCTGCATATCAATCCTAACCCAGCAACAAATTATTATATCTTACAAAATAACATTAAAAGGCAGAATCCAAACAATCAGGACAGATTTACTTCATGCTCACTGTGCAGTCATTACAACGACCTTACATTTAAGCCATCTTGCATTTTAGGAAAAAAAAAAAATGAAAAAAAAAATATTTTAAAAAGCAAGAGTCCTCAGCTCATATGACTGAAGCACCCAGAAAGGCTTTCAAAATTAAGTCTGAGTTCACCAACTCTGGGAAAGAACTTCTCCTGTCAGTCTTTGTGAATAAGTTTTTCAACGTTTTTCAACCCTCTCAGATCTTAAAAGACCTCTTCCTTCCATGACAGCTCTCTGGGGTGCCCCTGTAGGGGCCATGACGAGGTTTATCCCACTAGAAAGGTGCTCGGACTCACTACGGGCTTGTCCTGCCGGAGGCACGCGCAGGCTGGAGCTGTCCCCGGAGCCCCAGGGAGGCTCCTGCCACTGCGCCCCAGCAGGACCGACCTCCCAGCCCCAGGGAACACCTGCCCCAGCTCTCCTCGTGCAAGGAGTGCCACGGGCAGAGGTGCTTCCCACCTCCCTGCATGCCTGCCACGGGAAGGGTGTTTTTGGCCCTCACTCCTGGCTCAGGGCAGGAGCAGAGCTCGGAGCACCATGGCAAGAGGTCTTATGGACCAGCGTGGCTAAAAGCACCACATGCCTGGCACAACAAAAAGCCACCACCTCGGGGCTGGCAGCTGGAATATGCTTGCAGCTAGTACCTAAAGTTTCTCTCCCACCTGGAGAATTGCAAATCCTAAAAAGGTGACATTTTAGCACATGTCTTTTAATGAACTTGCCTATGACTATTTTCAACCTCCAAAGTTCTTCCCTGCACCTATTTCGGGGTGAATGAAGAGCCCTTCAGTGGGACTCCTATTGATTTTAGTTCCAATGTAATCAAGCTTTGCCTGCATTATTTAATGTTTATTTTAAAGACTTAGGCAATCTTAAGAACAACCTCAGCTATTTTAAACTACGTTAATTTGATCATACTAATCTACAGTTTGCAGGCTCAAAATTCAACATCCACAGCTAATGATGACTCAGACCACTCATTTCTTCCTAGATTTTTTTTTTCTCCTTTTTTTTGGAAAACAAAGCATCTCACAACCTTCTGTATTACCATTTTGCCAGTTATGATTTCTACAACCAGACATCACAGACTTTTGGAGCTGGATGATCAACTGGGGGGTTGGATAACGAAATCTATTCCATTGGGGAATCTAAATTGGTTAGACTCATTGTTTATATTACAATTTTCCCCTTAGGTCACAAATAGTCTGCTAGGGAACTGTAAATGAAGGTACATGCTGGCCTTGAGACAAAACCACCCACATTAAGTAAATTTAAATCAGTGCTTCCTCCAGGAAACAAAGAGTTGTATTACTTACAAGCAGATTTGATTATGGTTTAGAGAACTGTTTAAACACATCTAGCACATCAAAGGAAAACAGATTTAAGCTGCTGTGCTCATTGTTTAAGAAATATAGGTTGATTGATGCAAAGATCAACATGATTGATGACTCCCTGTAACAGTTCAGTGAAAACATAGGCCATAGTAAAGATGAAAATATTCAGTTTCATCAAAATATCTTCAGATTTTATATTTAAAATTAAGGATAAGATAGTTTTATTCTAACATTTTAAAAATAAAATCAAGTTCATGAAAGCAATACAATAAATAAGTTCACAATACCATGTTGGCTTCTCTCTTCAAGGCCACAAAAACACCCACTAATCTGATCATCCAGAACATACCTAAAACTCCCAAAACATCACAGCATCCAAGATGTCTTTATGCACATTTGTGAACTATAGCATCCAGTAAACATGCAGATTCATACAGCGGCATGCAAACAGCCTAGCAAAGAAAGGGTTAAGACAAAAGAACATTCTCAAAGCAATTCAAATAATCCCTCTAGATCATTCTGTATGTGAGAAGTATTGTAGCTGGAAAGCTGGACTGGTGTCAGTTCAGAAGTTGCTGCTGTCTGACACAAGCCAAAGGAACCAGCAAACTGCAAGGAGAAAGTTGCTAGATACAATAAAAACCCCAAAAACCCCACAACACACAGAGCAGAAGTTTTATGCTAAGAATCAGTTGGACCTCCTTTACTTTGCAGAAACAATTATTTTACTTTTAATTTCAAAGAGGTTTTCAAAGAAAAGACGGAAGGAAATATATTTCATTTTGGCAGACCACACATTGCACAAAATAAATTTAAGAATCTATTTTTGGGCTAGAATGGTTGAAGAAATCCCTGATTAGCCTCTTAATGGGGTGAATCCAATTTATTGAGAATGATCACCAGAGGGAGTCATTGACTTTCCCATTAAAGTCAAAGGGAATTTTACATACATCAGGGATACAGAATTTGGGGGCAGAGCTGAAAAAGACTTCAAACAGATTGGAGTTCAGGGAACAACACAAACCACAATTTTATGGATTTAATCTGAATCCATTTTCCTCTTTGGAGTCTCCAAGGATGACAGCTATATTCAATGCTTAAAATTAGAAAGAAGGCACTGAAGTCATCCATTCAGTGGGTACACACCCACAATACTAACAGAAAAAAAAAAACAACAAAAAACCCCAAAAACCACCAAAAAAAAACCAAACCAAAAGAAAAACAGCCCCAAAAACCAATCATCCACTCACCCACCCACCCAAACAAAACCCCATCAACAGAAAAAAAACCCTTAAGCACTTAATTGGTTGTACAGGAGTTTGCAGTGGTCTAATTAACAACTGCTCAGTTTTGTCTTTGGACATGTAACATATCAGTCCTTCTGGAAATGCAGTATTCAACAGCACAAAGAAAATCTCCAGGTGTCATTTATTAGAGTTTGTCATATCTCTTGGGAATATCAGTAAAAGAAAGGAGTGAAAAGGAGTCAGAAAGAATTGTTAGCACAGGGGTGTTTTTTTGTTTTGTTTTATTTTTTGTCTTCACTGCTAATGAGTAAAAGAGGTAGTGAGTATGGGGATTTGTGAACAAAGTGATAAAATGAACTAATTAGACAGACCAGTGTATTCAGCCACAAGCAAGTGTGCATTTTATGCTCAAACACCTAAATTTTATGACCTTCAATAAATATTTTCATGTTAAGAACCTGTCTTTTCTTTGCTGGACTTCAACTTAACCTTATTGTTGCCACAAAAGCCCAGCAGACTTTGGTTTGAAAACAAGTTCGTTCACTCAGCAACTTTCTCCTTAATTCTGTGCAAGAAGGTTTTATAGCAGAAAATTAGATTTAAAAAAGGGCAAGGCAACAGCCCCACCCAACCAAATGCAATTTCACTTCTCTAGAAATGTCCTCTGAACAAATGGAATTCAATTTGTTTCTGTTTTTCCAGGTAATGGCAGCACCTTGTTTTGCTTGTTTTTATTTAATTACTTCTTGTTCATATAATTAGCTGACAGACTGCAGCCTTTTGTTCATTATAATACAGTTATTTGCATAGCTGTTTCCATTTTGAGGCCGAATTTTGGACAGAGGTTCTATTTTGGGTTGTGGCAGGCAGAGCCACTGCTGGGAAGCCTCATGCAGGGAAGCATGCAGCAACCTGGTCCTTCGTGGAATGAGTTGCTCCAGGAACTGCCCTGGCTGCCCATCTGCTTCTGATGGCAAATCAAAGTCCTGTTTCCAGCATGCAGCATAAGACCTGGCTGTCTTTCATCATCACAGGTATCACTGAAAACCAGTTGAGCTCATCCTAAAGCATTTTCACCAACAGACTGTCCATGCATAATTTAATGTGCATTAGATTGAATATTAGGAAAAATTTCTTCACTGAACCGGGTGGTCAGGCATTGGAGTGAGTTGTCCAGACAGTGGTTCAATCATCATCCCTGGAATTGTTCAAACAACATGTAGGTGTGGCTCTTTGGGACATGGCTGAGTGATGAACATGGCAGTGCTGAGTTAAGGATTGGAGTTGAAGACCTTAAGGATGTTTTCCATCCTACATGGTTCTATGGTCCTGTGGTGTCACTTAATTTATGCTAAATTTAAAGTTATCAGTACTCTTTCAGTGGTTGGGTGAAAAAAATGTAAACATAGAGGCTACTTTAAGCTTTCTTTCATTAACAGTTTGATTTAACACACAGTTGAGTCTAGTGCTATTCAAATAATTTTTTGCATAGTTAAATCTTATTTTTAAATAATCAAAATATATCCCCAGATCACAGTTTTGCAGAATTCTGACCCTTCTCATTAATAAATACAGCAATCATCACTCTTCAAATCATCTGAGTTTCCAGCAGTGACCTGATACAAGCTTACTTTTATCTAGGTTGCTCAGAATTTCAGGAATCTGCACCTTATTATAAAAATGAGGGGCAGAGTTGGTGCTGGGGGAAGACAGCACACTCTGGTGCACAGGAGCCACCTTCATCTCAGCCTCCATGCATCTAAATGTCCTCAAACCTCTACCTCTGAGGAGAGATTGCATACCAACAAATCAATTTACACTACTTGAAATACAGAGAGCTGGAACAGACAGCTTGGAAAAATTGTCAAACATTGCAACTCAGCCTTCATATACACCCCTTGCTCTGGTCAGGATTAGTCCTGTAACCAAAAGCAGCAAGGCCCGGCCTTTTACCAGCACCGGTTTTAGTCCTACCTGTGCCATCTGCCTCTCCAGCTTCGACCGGGGAATATCATCAAAATAGTTTTCATTTCTTCTTCTCCTTGCATCGCCCTGCATGATAATGTGGGGAACGTCCAGGGAGCCACCAGTAGTGAAAGTGCTTTGGCTAAGTGATGGAGACAACTGAGGAGGAGTGTGGTTACCACTGGGTTCCTGGACAGAAAAAGAAAAATGCAGCATAAGAAGAACAGCATATTGCTGACTTCAAATCACATACTTAAAAGTGCATTTGAACTGCCCACACTAAAAAAAAATTATGGAACAATTCCTGCAGTAAAGGTTACTGTGGATGAACTTTTGAGATTTGCTACCTGAAGTACAGAGCCCATGTAGAAGGAAAAAAAGTTCAATGATTACATGAACTAGTGGCACATTTCCTCCCCAAAACCTTCTTGTGTAATATATACTCTCTCCTAGAGATAAAACAGTGAGCTACTTCTTGTCAAGGCCCAAATAAAGCCATTATTTAGGATTAGCTATTTGTAAGATGAAATAGATTCTCACCACTTCTGAGCAGCTGCTCTGAGCAGTGAAAGTGATTTCAACACTAGCAATACCTCTTGCTGTAAAAAAGAAATGCATGCCCATTTACACAGTATAGACATTTTGTTGCAATTTTTATAGGTTTTGCAGCACATCCATTTTAACTTGAAGTACCAGATATCAGACACAAGCTAAATACCAACTCCTGGAATACACGAAAGCATCAGAGTACACGTATTTTACCTGGCTATTTTTGTTACCTCTACTGAACTGTAACCTTGTATCAGTCAGTGTGCAAACACCAAACAGAATTGATCCATAAGTGCTGCCTAATAAATAAGCAGGAGAATATACATTTCACCAGGAGCTGCCACCACGCTGCCCACAGCCAGACATGGCAGGTACGTTTGGAAGCACCAGTCTCATGCACCGGCATCACTTGTTCAACCAGCTACGAACACCGGTGTCCAGATCCACCGTTCCACGTTCTCTTGGAGCTCCACAGCAGGAGCAGGGAGCTACAGTGCACTGTCTGCACCAGCACTGCCCCATGTGAGCAGGAAAACACTCCCAGCAACTGAGTGGGAAATGCTCCTCTCTCATGATGGACTGGGCAGAACGTACCCAGGAGCAGGTTTGCTCAGTGCAGACCTTCTCTAAACCACCTCCTGCTGCTGCAATGCTCCATTTCAATACTCAGCAACAAGAAGGGACCTGAAGATGGTGGAGCAAGCAAAAAACATGCTCCAGGTAAAAAAACCTGCTCATTTTATTTAAAGGGAGGATTAAAGCAGACAATTTATACTTTATTACATCGAAGCAAGCCCAGGTCTGAAAAGCATCAAGGTATTTTACTCCATGCTGTTAAAAAACAAAGAAGTCTGGTGTAAGAAATCAGAGAATTGTAATTTCCAAATGGAAAGGAAAGTTCAAGTCATAGTAATGCCTGATGTCAATATTTGAAGTGTAGAAGTCTATTATTCCTTGACATTATTCCTTGAAATCACAGTTATGGATTAGTATTTTTCATGTTTTCAACAAGAAAAATGTTAGGAAAATATAGCTCTTCAGTAATTTTTAATTACCTGGGATTTTAACTTAAAAAAAAAAAAAAATCTCTGGCTTTCCTACGATCTGAGACAAGTACTTGACATTTCCCAGGGGAAAGAAAAGAGTATTTTACTCTTAGGAATAATCTTTTCCCTCCTTCACAAAAATCCACCTACATATGGCCCAGTTAAAAACTCCTGAAAAGCTATATTCTGCACATGCTCAGTAGGTTTGGTGAGGCATAACCTCTAAAACCCACCCTCCCTGGGCCTAACAACATGGTGCACACACCTCTGATCTGAAAATAACTTGAGTACATGGGCACCAAACAAGATCCTCTTTAGTGAGTGCTACCTGCTGCTCCAGCCAGGTGGGTAACCTCTCTCTGCTCTGAATCAGGATTCACCCACTGTTGCAGGGCCACCAATGTATCAAAGTGACAGATGAACGTAGAGATTCCAGCCCTCATTGAGCTTTTCATATTTTATCAAACTGCATATGAGGAGGAAATTAACTCCAAGATCTATACTGGAAGATTGCTGGCAAAGCAATACAGACAAGAAATACCAACTCAAGAAATTAAAGAATTACTGTGCCTCTGCATTATGGAACAGTATGTCTTTGTACGATTTTATGCTATTTTCTCAAAGTTGTCCTTCACAGCACAGATGGATCCTCAACTGTGCAGCGTGTTGTCATATACTCAGCACCATGTTATCATTAGGTACCGTGTAGTCAGTATTTTATTCTTGCCCCAAACCTCTCTCCTAAACCCTTTTTAAACCCTGCTCTGAAGATAAGATGATTAACATCGTTGTAGTCATGTTGCTCATAAGTGCTTTACAAATGTTAATCAATTAATTTTTGCCACACCTGCGACTTCTGGCATTTCATGATCACTGCTTTGGTGTGGGTGACCAGAGACACACAGACACCAAAGGTTAGAAAGTACCTGTCACTCAATTACAACATCCATTGCTCAATTTCCCAAGTGCTTGAGTTCTGAATTCCACATCTGTTGATTTAATTTTCAGCACTGTGTACTTCAGCACTTGTAAAAATCAGACTCAAGACTCCAGTCAAATATGGAGATTGTCAGTGACATACAATTAGCGACTGTTTAGGAAGCAATTAATTAAATAGCTTACCATGAATTATCTGAGATTTTTGTGGCAAAACCAAGTGTAAGTCTCTAGTTTCATAGGTACAGCTATTCCTTTAATCATGAGCCTGTCTCCCATTCTTCCTTCATTCCTCTTCCCCTCTCCATGCCCACCTTTTCACCTCCTCTAACAAACCTGCAGACCAGGCACAGACATCCTTGCAGGTGCCTCCATACCACGTTACTGTTAATCACCAGGTATTCATATTGTGCTTCTACCTGGCTGTGAATGCAAACACACATGACCTGCAGGGATGCCTGATCACATATTTCACTCTCAAAATCTGCCTCATCCCCTCTCAGACCTGCTGCTCATGTACACCTGGAACCACAGAGGTCAGGGCTGGAAAGGAGCTTAAGAGATCTTTTCCCAGGCTGCCTGGGCACACTTCATGTTCTACAGATGTTTGTCTAACCTGAAACCAGGAATTCTCTCCAGTGAACTAATTCTTGTGTTAAAATATCATTACTATTGCAACACTTCTCTAACTTTTCTGCCAAAATTGTTGGCCCTCCAGTTTAAATTCCAGTCTCCAGTGCTGACTGGGAGAGGAAGGGCTCCCAGGAAGAACATGGAAACTGATCCTGCAATTAAAGATTACTCAAGGAAAAGATGCATTCAAGGAAGGAAAGGAAGATTACATAGGTAACCCAAGATCCAGCAATTTCTATACTTTTGTGTATAGAAAAGTATATATGTATAGTGTCTGTGTGCATATAAATGCTATTATATATAATATATAAAACATATATATATTTCAATACAGTATATTTGAAATCAAAATAGTGTTTCATTAGTACACAGGAACACACAACTGGGAATAACATACGTTGTGGATATTTTTAAGATTTTAAGGAATTTTTGCTTTTTAATGTTTAATTTTCTACTTTGAAATATTTTAAAAGCTTAAAAAAGATGAAGCATTAGCATTGCTTAGCTTGAGCTTGGGAACTTAGAACTAGACTTTAAATAACAAACTACCTTTTTTACTGATGTACAGCAGCCTTGTCTAGTGGAAAGTGCTCCTGCCCATGGCAAAGAAGGTTGAAACTCGATGATCATTAAGGTCTTTTCTAATCCAAACTGTTCAGTGATTCTATACAAATCAATCTTACAGCAGTAGCAGTTTATTTAAGCAAATTTTCAAGATACAAATTATTGCAGACTGCAAACTAAACACTGTCTGTGTTTTGTGTGAAATTACATAGTAGCAGTTGATGGGAAAGAAAACCTTCATTCCAAATGCTTGTTCTCCTCTTTAGGATTCTCTGGGAAGACTCCAATTCCAAGAGGTGATAAATGACATTTAGCACTGGCCCGCATCAGTAACTCTAGCTGTGCAGCAGCAGACTACTTTTTATCATTTTGACTACAGATGGAGGACATCCAGTTTTCTCTTCCATATTAACTCAGAATATACAGTCCTGACCAAGAATGTGGACCGTGGAAACTTTCCCACTTGCTGAGTAGGAATTAATTATCCAGTCCAGAGTATTGAAGGCATTCAGCAAAAAAGTCTGCCTTTTTATCCATTTCTCTTTCCTTGGAGTGTTTTAACACCTGCCATGCATCAGGAATCATTCACAAAATACATAAAAACAAAATACAAGAAAAACATCCACACATTTGTGGAATGTGCCTTAGAGCACATTACAGATTTGTCAGACTTTTTAAAATACGGCATTAGGAATAGCTTGAATTAAGGGGTTGGATCTAAATTGTCTGTATGGGGCATCTGATAATAAGCAGGGAGAAAACAAGCTGGCCACAGAAATTTTAAATACACTTAAAATAAGTCCTCATTCTGTCTTTCGCTATTGCTCTTTACACTAAGAAATTTAACTTGGGAGCACAGACACTCTCTGACATTTTGAAACCTGTTCTCAAACAAGATTCTTGTCAGAAATGCAACCCCATGAAAATAATGGGATCCAATTAAATGCGAAAGGTGTGACCTAAAATATCAAAATAAAAATATTGCTATGAACTCTGTTGGAGGGAACACAGTAGGAAGTGGCCATCAGACCACAACTTGGTAAGAGTAGCACACAAGCAAGCAAAGGCATTGGATTTGAGAAACCAAAAGAAGATGGTGTAATGAGAGGAGATTAAATGTGGTCAAGTGTGGAAAAACACCAGGGACATTGCAACAAGGTTTCTGAAAGAGGGAATACAAATGAAAATTAAAAACATGATAAAACTTTTGATATACAGAGACACCTTAATGATGTTTTTATCTCAACATTTGCAAGATGTTCTCCTTAAAGGAAGCTTAAAGCATATGTCTGAAAAGTGAGTGTAAACATTCAAAAACATGAAAGGAGAATGCTAATCCTCCTGCACTAGTGATTGGCTGGGCTGGGAATCCTGTGGGCAAATGAAAACTTGCATCTTTTACATCCCTGGTCCCAAGCTAGTTTCTTTAGCAAAGATAACCTGATACTTCTAAGATTCTACTTATTTCATCCTAGGCAGACATCTGAAACAGGTCACATGGATCACCCTGTAAAAATGTCAATATATCTCTGCTGGCCAAACAGGGAGGGATGACACAGCAGGTCAGCCTAAGATGTCCATAATGTACAACTCTGAAGGGAAGTAAGTTGAACCCCATCAAAGCAGCCATTGTTTTCATGTGAATGTTTTAAAACCCTTACTGACTTGTCAAGAAATGCAAACAAATTTTCACGGGGACTCACCCTGAGGGTTATTGACCGAGGTGGTTTCTGAGGAGGATCTTCGTGAAGCCTGTCTCCCAAAGATGCCAGAACACGCTTCCGGTGGCCAATCAAGCTAATCTTTAAGACCTGAAATAATATCAAAAATACATCATTAAAGGAGCACATGGCATCCATTACATGAACATCCAATTCCGACTGAAGTGATTTTCTCTTTAAAGCTCGTAACATGTTAGTCCTCTAGGCAGGCTGAACAGACAGGGAACTGTGCAAGGCAAACAATCAGCAGAGAAAATGAGGGGTGAGATCAGAGGAAAAACACTGTAAAATGAAGGAAGAAACTAGAGCATGTATAGGTGCAGAAAACTGAAAAAAGCCAGACTCAAACATGAGTAAAGAGGAAACAAAAATGAAATTAAGAGAAGGCAGAAGAGCATGAAGAAAAAAAGGGAAAGGGATGAGAAGACTGAAGAAGGAAATGCAAAGGTGCATGCAAACAATGAGTGAAAAGTATTAAAGTGATTCATGGCATGGATGAGGAAAAGAGAAACAGCCAGTGAATGCTTAGAGGAGGCAAGAAGGGAAAAAAGGATTTGTACGATGAGTAAATATTATAACTTTTAAATCTACCATGCCTCTCACAGTGTTGCTAGTAAAGGGTTAAAACTGCAAGATTTGGCAGAGGAGGAGGGAATAGTTTTTCTCAAAGTGACCTTGCAGCTGGGAATGCTAAAATTGTTGGTATGGGAAAGCTCCATTTATTATGCCAAATGTTGTTTGTCCTCTGCCTGTTTTGAGAAGTGGAAGTCCTGTGGAGAGATAACACACTCTCATGGACTTGGGGGAAGACTTGTGTTGTAAAGAGGCAGGAGCCCTCCCCTCCACTCCTGCCAGCTAGAATGGAGCCATGACCCTGTCCCTCTGTCACCTGGCATGGTTAGCAAGGTAATGAAATAAATCCACCCTTTGCATTTCAGCTGTGCTTGAGGGTTGCCCTTGGTTACTGGTATGTGTAGATTCACACACAGAGGTAATCTTTAAATATCTCATAGTTTGTATTATTATATAGAATCATCCTTGTGTAAGAAACACTGGGTGGGCAAACTGTTACCCTGGAGTTGTATTACTTTTTTTATCAGATGCAAAATCTCTGTTGAACAGAAACGGGTCCATCAGTGGATATTCACACACCTCATGCTTGTCCAAACTCCCAAAATGCTGCCAAAAAGTTGCCCCAAATTTACAGCAACTACTCCTCATTTGTATTTCTCTGTGTCCCTGCCTCGTACAAAACCACCCCTGCTCTCAGGAAAAGATGGAGAACAGAAGCAGCGAGTTGGAAATTTTAAGTATTAGTGGGAAAAAGAACATATTTCAGTGATATTCTTTAATGGCCACAATGGCTGTAAAGAGTATATAGCAGCACTAATTGTAGCAGCAAAGCCTCTGCTCTGCAAACAGCAGTGTCCTTACATAACTCCTCCAGACTGTACATGTGGTTTCATACTCCAGAGCTGCCTCCATTCCTTCTCAGAAAACAGTACTTCCCACTATATTTAGGACCACCGTGTGTCAACACCCTTCAGTTGAGAGGAAGTTCTCACTCAACCTAGAAAAAGTAATAGTCCCAAAAAAACCTGGAAATGCTATATCTTAAATGAACAGCTACCTCAGCTTAAGCAGTAGCACTAAGAGCTACAATTCATGAGAACAAACAAAACCCAAACCCCAGCAATCCCCTGCTACATCTCTTAAATGCAGCATCTCAAAATATGGTACAGCAACATGCTGTCATGGTTCCTGTATCCATGCCTACCCATCCATTATCCTGCCCAGCCACGTGCACGCGCATCCGTCCACATTTCCTCTGTTAGATGTCTCTGTGCTATCTGATACTGTTGATCAATAACCTCTTTGCTGCTCACATCTCCAGAGTGGTGGGCTATGACACGAAGCAGATGGAGGCCTTCCTCTGAGAAGCAGCTCACAGGGGTGTTGCAGACCCTGCAGCTCAGCAGCGGACACAAGCAGCAGTCCCACAAACCACCCTGCCACGTGCTATCCTTTCAGTCTAAATCTAGAGAAGCAGGAGTGAAGCTGAGATAATGCAGCACACAGAGAAATGCCTGAGGCATGCAGGAGACTTAGTTATGTATTCAGTTTACACTGAGTGTTAAACAGAAGGGTTCACAGTTTATCTCTGTATTTAACTATATGAAACACGTGAATGAACCACAGCTGCTTTAAGCATTACTCAAGTAATGCACTCCAGTGAACTTGCTTCTTTCATAATGCCTCCTCATCAACAAGATCATTTTTCCAGAGATTTTTAAGCCAAGCTAAAGTTCTTTGGGTTGTTTCAAGGTCCTCAGCGCTATGACTGCCTTATTAGCTCTATCAAAACACAAAACAATTTTCTTTGACTTCAGAGCTGTTGAACAGTGGGAAAGAAAAAACACGAGTCTTGAGGGACTGCACACATAAGAGATCAGTAGACAGGTCTCAATTACTAAATTATTTCAAAAACTGTGCTCAATTTGAAAGTAATACAGATCTTTAAACACCATAGGCACTGCTAAGTTTACTCCACATTTTGTTTTTCTATTATAATTGTGGTTGCCCCAAATGTAAATGGGAGTGAGTTAATGATGCAACCTACAGAAACATATGGTCCTCAGGCAACAGGCAGCTGCATCCCAGACTCATCTGGAGCACATACTCCATTAACTGAAGACAGCTGTATTTTTCTGGAAATTACTCCCTAGCAATTTTCTTACTTGGAAAACCTGATTCTGAACATAAAATACTGTTTTCTGAAACACTTCTATATTTGAGTTATGAAGGTTTAACAAACATCCTGAAAGTCTTGAAACTCATCCTGTGATGGATTATTCTTGACAGTATTTATCAAAAATGTCAAATATCCAAATATAGGTCAACAGTGTGGAATGGAACAGTTGCCTAAAGCAGTACCATAGAAATATGTTAATGTTGAAAGTCTTGCACTTAAAACAGCCCACAAGTTAGCTTTCCTGGTATATAATTTCTATAAATCAGGTTACAGTGAACACCATAACACTGAATAAGGACAGTCAATACAGTGCACCTAAATGTCATGCAGTGAGGCATTTTGTCAAATGGATTGTAGCCCACTTACTATACAACAATGAAATGAGTTTTGCAGTGTGGCTGCAGGAATCAGCAACAACATGTCATCAAACTGCTCAGAGTAGCTCAAGGCTGTCCACAGTATGTTATTTCATCACTGGGACAAAAGGGGGACAAAAAGAAAAGGCATGTACATGACATGCTTCTTTCCACACTGAAGGCAGGATACTCGGGACAAGAATGATACTACTCCATTGCATGTATTTGAGGTTGCAATACAATTAAAAGAGAATGGGGCAAGTCATTCATCCAAAGCACTGACACATGCACAAAAATTTAATCTTATTTTTACTTCTGTACTCTGCAATGATTAGCATACAAAATGAAATTCCACTAGGAAATGTAAGAAATCCACAAATATAACTAATTTAATGCTTTGCATTTAGATCTCTGGCTTAGTTGACAGATGTTTCAGAAGATACATGTAGCCCAACAACTCCCTGATGACTGTGTATGTGCAAATGCTGGAATTAACAAATTATTCCACCTAAAAATGAGCTTTATTTCTGCAACATTCTTCTGCCTGATGTTTTCTCTAATTGAATAATAATATTCAATACTGTATGATTCTATTTTTTTCCAGAATATTACAAAGATTACTGAAATTCAAGACATTAATTCTCCATCTTTTGGAATAATCTGAAAAACTTTTGTATGGACTAAAATTAGGATCCTAATAGCACAAGAGGTATGGACTAAATGTGTACCAGCAATTGGATACTAGGAACCACCTACAAAATATAAAATTAAAAAGTGATCAGAACAGTGCTAGTGAGCAGCAAAGCACACTGATGGTCAGAGGCTTGCTGCAACTTCTCTGGTGTCCACAACTTCAGGGGAAGCAATGTTTATTATGCCTAGGAAGACATCTGTAAGAGACATATTATTTCATATTATATTGATTTCATACCATAAGGGTATGAAATATGCGTCACAATCCTCTGGAACGAATTATCCACCTGGAAACAGATGTCAGTTGTCTTGATGACAGCACTTCAAAAAGGCCAGTGGCTGTCTCGTAAGTCCCATTTCTATATGTTATTATGAGGAATTGATGTTTGTTTGGTCCCCTATCACTCAAATAATTGAGATGCAAATTTCCATTTAAGAGCATTGCAAAAGCAATGGCCAAGAGTCTTCTCCAAGTAACTTGCCATTGCCATTGCCACCCCAGGTCAGACTGAGGGAGGTGAGAATTCATTATTTTTTATAGGAGTTCTCAGGACAGACTTTGTCCTGACTTGGCCAATCAAGCCATTTTTGCCATTAAAGTGTTTTCCAAACTAGCTAACCTGGTACTGGAAAATAACAAGTGGTACTATTTAGGCTCCACTAAAGATAAAAACAGTAACAGTAGTTTTGTGCTTGTAATCAACAAACATTAATATTTCAGTGAAAAAAATTTTATTTAAAAATTAAAAAAATTTATTTAATATTTCCTTTAAAAATCCCAGGAAATTGCAGTGAAATAAGACCTGGCTGAAACTGATGCCTGGTCACTTTGAGTCCTGAGGATGTGTCTTAGGCTACATGCTGGACAGCTTTTTAAAAACAATTTTTAAATTAAAAAGTTAAATACATGACCTCTTAAAAAATAAGTCACAGTTCAATCATTTTAAAGGCTCAGATGTAATGATAAACATTACATACGTGCATTTTTGTCGCATTAGTCTCAAACTCCCAGAAATCAGAAATCCAGAAGATCTATTATACATACAAACACCAAGATTGTTATAATAATGATTACCTATTCTAAAGGATAAAGCTGAAATATTATTTATGTGAAAAATGGTAAGCACTAAGCAGGTCTTTACATAAAGGAAAGCATTCTATTTTCATAGGAATTAAGTAGAAAAAGTATTAGACAATTTGAAAAGTGGAACACATTCCCAAATGTGCCCTAGAAAGTGGACAGTTCCTTCCATTGAGGACTTGCATTTTCACCTGTGTGTGCTGAGCTA